AAATAAATTTGTATTTTATTTTCATCAAAAACAATAATTAATACACTTAACACTTATATAGGACTAGGTAGGTACTTTTACTATCTTCAAACATTTTACTTTATTACTTTGCGACAGGCTTGTCCATATAATTTATTATACTTAATTTTGGATTTTAGTCAAACTACTGTATTATGTACCCTCTTGAATTGATTGTTTCCACTTAAACAGGATTTTCATCTGAAGGTTCTTTTAAAACTTCATTACGGTCGCCTACACTACCATGTTCCTACGAGAAAATATTATAATTTACGATGATTGCGGTCCATTTATGTAGCCATTGGTTAGTACCTACATGAATTTACCTATAATCAATCCTATAATCATATTTTGAATGCCTATTTTAAATAAAATTATAATAAAATATATTGTGTTTTTATTAATTCACATAAAACAATTTGTGGGGCGACCAGTTCATAGATAATAATAAGCTAGTTGTGATACTTATCAAACTATATTATCTACATAATTAAAATACACAAAATTAAAAAAATCCAAAAATATGGTCTATGATTTATATGAAATTAAGATCGTTATGTACATGGTATGTACACATAATTCGTTAAAAAGTTAAAATATTAGGTAGGTATAATAAAACTAAAATTATCTAAATTATGGAATTTGGATTGAATTACATTATTATGTTTTCATTAAATTTTTTGTTATTTCTAGTTTTAACTGAACAATAATAACTAATGTACAAATAATAAATATATTTTATTTTTAATCATTATTTAAAATAATTAAAATACTTTGTGTTTAAGCGAAAAGCGGTAATTAATCTACCGTTTGAATCTAATATTGATCTATTAAATAATTATTTAAAAACACAACCAAATTTCTGCATTTTATTATCCGTGGTTGATTCTAGGTATAAGAAATCATGCGGAAAATATCAGAAAACAAAGAATTCAAGTGCTCGTCCGTGTTCATCGGTTCGAAACTAAAAGCAAAATCTTGAAATTAAATGGATTCGGTTTATCGACCGTATAGAAATCATTATCATAACAATCTGGTCTTTGCTGGACGTCATTTTAATACCTTGCCCAGGGGTATTTCAATATAGGGTTCTCCTGTTTATTTTGATTTATCGCGTTTTAAAAAAATTATATTTAATACCGAGTTCAATGTTGCACTAGATTAATAAAACGTGTTGAATGTTAATAACACAGATGGATGTATAAAGCAATTGTAAATGCATATCATCGTACTCTTATGAAAAAAAATATTTTAAAACAAACGTATCGAATCATAATGAGAATATGCAGAATATTAGAATACATCGTAAAAGATTCATTTTGTTATAAATATTAGATTACAAATATTGATTGGTACTAAAATATAAGACCTATGATATTTTAAAAATACTGTATTTTCAATGTCCACAAAATGTATTTATACGTATTATTGGTTTTTAAAAACCCTATAGGAACATGTTAAATAAGAACACATTTGAATAAAACTATATTTAATATACAATGCATCTATATACTATGTTATTATTATACTCGATTGCAAGCAGGTAAATAAATATAATGTTAATGTTTTCTTATTTAAATAAAATAGATTTCCGGCTCTTGATGTTACGTGTGTACTGTGTAATCATCAGAGTAGTTTACGCAAACTATAAGAGGTCATCTAAAGCTAGTAGCACAACTAGCAATTATATTCACAGAGGGTGTCATACCTTCCCCATTATTCCCCGCTGGTTGCACCAATGTTGGTAATATTTTCGTGTTATTATAATTAGGTATTGGAATCACATAAATATTTTATTTAATAATCGAATCCCGTCATTTTAGTACCATGCTACATTGAAAGCCCTACAATACAGAAAGCCGTCAATATATCATTTTTTTTTAACAATTTAATTTTAAATAATTGAATACAACATATAACCCCTATACCAAATTAACACCAACATTACATATCATTGTAAACACAAATTATCGTCTTACCTAATTGATTTTCATCATAAATTATGATATTGAAGTTTGAACAATAAAACACGTCAAAAACTATGATATCTCGGATAAACTTAAGATAACATTTTTTTTTAAATTTTTTAAAACAAATAAATTTAAGACTAATATCACAGTCTTTATGGGGATAAAAATAAACTAAATATGATATTCTATTTCATAAAAGCATTATTTTAATTCAATTAACGGCGTTAACGTATGTAATATCATAAATAATAAATGAAAAATAATTTTATGGTCAATTTGAAAAAGGTAAAAAGATTCAATTTAATCAACACTTTTAGATCACTGTACATACGAATTTTCGTTATCTACCTGCATGTACGTTCAATCTCCAACATTGAAACCAATTTGAAAATTTTACATCCCCAAACAATATTCTCAGACAAAAACAATCTMTACATTCAGCTTAAAATTATTATGTATGTGTCTCTAAGATAAATACATATCACATATAACATATTCAAACGATATATGATGTGTAAATATTATATAAACTTTACGATATCATACAGAATTACGTGATTTTATACAGAAAATATGTAGGTAGAAAGGTAGCTAAACAAAATTCGTGTTAGTTCGACGATAAAAATGAGTGTACGGGCCAATAAATATTAATAAAGAATATAAATTGAATCTGACGAAGAAATATTAAAATATTACAAAAAATAAATAAATTCTAAAATTGAAGGTCTTAACTGGAATATATGCTTTTAAACAGATTCATCTGAACCAAAACTTTATATCAACATTATTATAAAGTCTACTGCGTAATAGTTTGCTGTCAAAGATGTTAAATTAAAAATATAATTAACTAATGTTTCAATTTTATTATAATGTCTTATACTTTTTGTATGAAAATAAGTATTTTCAAAGATGATAATTGTAACAAATTCATTTAAACCAATTAAACGAATTTTTTAACGAACTCTTATTATCTTTTTTTTAAATAAGTACCTTACCTTACGTAATATATTTCTACAAAGCCCTTAAAATACGTAAATTATTCCCAACCTTTAAGGTCTCATTTATAGTCAACACTTTGTTTGTAGTTACACAAATGCAATAAATCATAATTTCATGCTCATATTTTTAAATTACATATATTATCATATCATTTTATCACCTATAATATGCCTGATGTTAATTTATTTATTTTTCAAAATCTTAAAATGATACCAATCAAGTTTTTTTTATAAGATTACCTATAGAAATATTGTAAAACAAAACATTATTTSCTCACTCCCGTTCACAGATAAATAGATAATAGAATGATAAGTGCCTATAATTTATTACCAATGATGGATTTTAAATGTAAGTACACACATGTTAATAAACATTTTATCATATAAAAAGGCATATACTTTTACTTATTCTTGCATACACATTATGCTACCATAATATGTTATATAAATGGCATTTCAATGAATTTATAATTGGGTAAAATTCTACGTTTCGATCTTTTTATACATATCTAATTAAAAGAGGAGTAGGTACCTATAACAAGTTATCGAGGGAAAAAATAAACATTATTTATTATTAACGTTATTATTTAATTTACATTCGTATCTACCAGGCCATTTTAGACACGTTAAAAAAAACATAAAATAAAAAAAAAAATGACTTTAAATGAACTTTATAGAGATTCTCTGCTGGTTGAACATGTAAAAGTTAAATATTTTTCCATTCATGGTGTGTTTAATATGAATTTTTTAAAATACGCGGGTGCGTGCGTGTAGGACATAATTTGCTCATTCTATTATTGCGCATCCACAATAAATTCGCGTCTCAGGTATTGAAATACTCAAATACCAAATCTCATTATGGGTATATAATTAATAATAATAATATTTTTAAATTGGCAACCACCAAAAAACACGTGATCTCGTTGCTGTTTACAAAACAAATCGCGTGTAGTTGACTTAAATCGCCCTTTGAAGTACACAAGAAAAGATGAGAAAAATATAGTAATAGTAATGATAAAATGATAATGGAAAGTATTATGTAGGTACAACACCAATTGGGCGTTTCGACGCAAAAACGAATTATATATTGCTTAGAATATATTATAATGCTCTGCAGTTTTCTTTGTCAATTGTTTTGATCCGCATTATTTACTGTATATACACGCGCAGTATAATAATATATTGTATTGTAATATTTTTTTTCCGTTTCGCACTTATACCTTATGGTAAAACCTCGACCGAAAGCCAAAATAAAGCCCTCCTCATTCACTGACACGTTCGAAATGGTGGGTGTGCGTGTGAGTGTATATAATTGTATTTTATGGTTGTTATTACAAGACAGTATGATAATTACATATAATATTATTATATTGTCGTCGTTGTTATTTATTAATTATTAATTATTTTTTGAAATCGATATCATTATTATTACAACGCACACGGCCTCCGAGACAGCGATAAACACGCGGTCGGGTTTTAATGGCGATAATCGTTTTTTTTCTTCTTCTTTTTTTTTTTATCCGTCTCCGTGACTCCTCTCCAAAGAACAGATGCGGCGTGCATGTAGAAACTTCGAGGGCTACCGGTCCTATGCGGTGACGGCTGCTCGTACTACCATTATACTATTACACGTCTTACTTCTATACTACAACTACTAAAACCATTACTATTGATACTAAACCACCACTATTATTACTACTAGCACTACTTCTATGATGACGTACTAGTGTACTACTCACTATTATCATTTACCACCCTGCTGCTGATTTGGCTCACACTCACAAGATCTGATAGATATTATAACGGTGGACAATAATATACTAAACATAAACACGTGTATATAAGAGTATGACGTAGTAGTGTGAGTATTAACATAATAATATTATTATACTAAACTACGCGTTGTTCTGCTGCTGTCATTCGTGTTCCTGTTTCTTGGTGCCACCGCAACAGCAGCAGCAGCAGCAGCAGCCGTCGCAGACCAAACGACGAGGCGACCGACCAGCCGCGGCGGTACACACGCAACACACACGCGGCGTCTCGTCTTCGCGCGCTGCCATTCAGTATCGTCAGTCGTTCGGTCGCGGTCGGTTCTTTGCGCGCGCGTCTTATCCATCGTCGTCGTATACGTCGTCGTTGCCGCCGACGTCACTTGCCCACACGCGTCCGTCGACGGTGGTGCATTAATAACTATACAGTGTATAGCCAGGTAATCCAAGGTATACCGCGATAGGAGATCGTTCGTCCCTCGAATCTGATTTATTTTCAACATTCTATCTACTTTTCAAATTCACACCCTATCCCCACGGCCGAATATTCGTCCATGTCGTACGATCCGGCAAAAACGGCCGACCACCGCTGACCGATTCATATAATTTCTACTATGCGCCGTTGCAGCCATCGTACCTGTAGCGGCAGGAGGATTCGCCGAAATCCACTCCGATCGTTTCCGCAGATCGGCTTACTGCTGTTGCTGTTTTCATGTTTGAGAGGTAAGCACCGCAGATACTTGTCTTATTAACATATATTAAGATACGACGATAGCGTGTACATCAGAGCATTTATCTTAACATACAAAGTACTATAGTGTCAACCAGTGAAAAAAGGGGTTGAGACTGAAAGGTTGGTTTCCCCTACACATATATGTTAAATAGTAGACAATTTTACCGAATCGCCACACTGCAGTGATCATTGCTTAAAATATGCGCTGATGTAGATACAGTAGGCTGAGACCACGTTGTTAGACGGAGACATTAATTAACGTTTATATTACTATTATAATATATAGAAAATACACAGCGAGATAAGTACATATGTGATATAGGTACGCCTAAAATACATAATATATGCATAGGTCTTGTTTACTACTGACGTGACTCGACAAAGTGTATAATAATGATATAATATAGTAAAGCACGGCGACAAAAACAGACGGACGATACCAACAATGACGTTGTAAACATGTACAGAATTATCGACCACACTTTAAATCCTCATCATAAAACGTTATATCAGTTAAATTTATTATTAAAATATTGTCTTTTCAAATACATATTATATTCTAAAAACATCTAGAAACTCGAGGTACGGGATTCATTTTATAGTCAGAAAAATACTAAAATTACGCAATTCGAGTATAATGACACAACATCAACAATGTTTAAAAAGTTTGAAAAGTGTGAAAAGAATTTTTTGTTTTTCGTCAAACACATGTTTTTATTTAAAACTAAAGAAAAAAATACAATATAAAATGTAAATATTATACATTTATATATTGCGTTAACTTTAGGTAAATTATATAATGTCCAATGCACATCAAATAATTTTATAACTTATTTATACTCAATTATGCTTATGATTTATTATTTTATAATAATGTTATTCCTGGTTATATATTTTAATAACAGGTTGGGTCGAGTCCGAGAAGATTATATTTTGGTCTGGATATCGTATCCAAAAGTCTTGTTGTATCTTAATAACAATAATAACTTTGAAGTTCATATAATTTTAATATTTTTATTTAGTTTGGCCTTTATTGGACTGAATTCAATAATATTTTAGAAATAAATAATATGATACACATGTAAATACACTATATATATATTATATTAATTAATTTGTTTGATTCTGTGTTTAAGCTGAAATAAAAGTATTAAAAGTTTTAACAAGTTATTAAAAATTCAAGCGAAAAAAACTTTAACACTAAATAAGTATGTGAGCTTACTCAACTTGAAAGATCATATTGTTACAATGTGTCATTAATTGGATAATTTTTGGTACAATTAATAATCCACTATTAAATGTTACTATACCTACTTAACTATTTTTAGTTTGCAATTTCATTATAATACTATACTTTTCAAATAATACAAAGTTATATATATATATATATATATATATGAGTATTTATAAATTATATTCAATTCAATTTTTATTTTTAAAATGATAAATACTTTAAGGTGTTCTTTAATTAAAATACTAAGGAAAATATTATATTTACACTATAAACTGTTTAAAAAACAATACAGAATAATTTAAATTTATTTGCTTCGATACCTGCACTCATTCTTATGTAAATACAAAAAAATCTTTATTTACTTTACCCGTCATCTTGTTTTAATAAAAATAAAAATTGTTCGAACATTCAAATATATTGTATAATATATATGTATATTTTATATTTTCATTCTAGTCTCTCTCTCGGTAAGTTGAAATCTCTAATGTTTTGTTAACTTAATAACGTGTTAGTAGCCAACACTCATTCTGAATTCAGAGTTAGGACGAACACACCGGTAGGATCATGTTTGTTAAATAAAGCGGATTGGTAGGAGTAGAATGAGTTTCCAACAAAATCAGATCACTTGGGCTACTGCTACAACCGGTTTTGATAGTAATAATTATAACAGACATCGTAATTTATTCAGATTAGTCTTTTTCGAACAACGTTCGCACGGAGAAGATAAAAAAAAAATTAGCTAGGTACCAACGAGATCATCTGTATAAGAACAGCATCGACCAAACTACATAGGAATGAAAAAAAAATTAACGCTATATTTCATACGAATTGGTAATTACAATTACAAACAAATCGTGATATAACATTGATATTTTAAACGAAATAAATATTATACCCAACAGTTGTAGTAAATCATGCCAATGCTTATAAAACTGTAATACTTATATACAAACGACACATTTAAGTTTTTCAGACTTATTTTAATCAAGTCTTTCCCAAAAGATCATATCATTATTTTAATAATGCTGCGATTATATCAACAAAATATGACGAACCTGCGTTTTGCAAATTTAAAATAATTAACTGAAATAATGATGATTTTTTATCATAACTTTACTATAATGAATAACACAACAGTATAATAACATTATGACAATATTAAACCAACTAATATATTGTACTAGGTAAAGTATAAATTATCATGTACATTCTATACATGTAGTTACTATGTTTTAAAATTGTTACACTAGTCACCTACTTAATATTATGATATTTGATTGCATGGATGTTAAATAATTTTAAATATATTAATCAACACAGATTAATATAATTGATTTTATAATAATGTATGTGATAAAAACGACAATTTCATTGCACCTTCATGATTAACTTTAAGGAATTATTTTACAAGATATTTGTAATTATAGACTTATTTTATCAATACCAACTACATTAATAATACAGTAGTAATTCAATAATAGTTTAGCATTGTTTATTGATTTGGACTTTGAAAACAATATTTTAATTATGTTTTTTTGGAGGTGATCATTTTTCAACTGTAAAAATATTCTATTCATTGGGTAAAAATCATGAATAAGCAATATTCTTTTAAATTAATTTAATAAAATACATTGCTACTAAAACAATGTAATTTTAGATGTATAGATAATAAATTTAAATAAATAACAAAATTTAAATCTAAGGCATTCTATATGTTTTCAATTAATTTTGCATTAACATACAATTTGTTCAAGAACAAAAATATTATAATATGAAACATATATTTTCTAGACTATACTATAATTCAGAATTTCTAAAATAGACAACACTATTTTATAAATTAAATACATTTAACGTATAGAAAATGGAGTATTTTTTATAATTTGTATTGAGGATGTGGAATCATGAAGTTCATATATTTAAATATACACGTTTAATAGGAATTTAAAGTTTTTAAATTCACAGCTCATAAGTTTGGGCGAGAAAAAATACTGACAAATTTACAATGGTGAAACACCATAGAAGTATGCATCAAAATTTCAATAGAAAACTTAAATGGAACTTTCACAAAATTTCTATAAAACTAAAAACTGTTTACAGGAAAAATAGTTTCATTGTAAAACAAATATTGTCTCCGATTGGAACAATGGTTTCACAGCAATTCTAAAATAACATTGATTTAAATTGTTTGTAAAACTAAAAACCAAATAAGAAACGCAACAAAATTAAAAACAATATCTTTTTATATCAAAGTATCTATAACATAACTATAATACTGTATTAAATAAATAATAAAGAAACACAATKAATAGATTTAAATGCTTTATATGACTATACAGGGTGTCCCACAGAGATCTGAYATTMTGACAAATGAAATAACTTTTGTTCTAATCAATATTT